ACTCTTTCCACCGGGAGGCTGGAGATCTAATGTTGGTTTTTCCCTTTGCATAGTTGAGAGAATTTACTCTACTCAACCATTCGATGAGATATAAACCTTCAATGAATGCAGTGTGCACTGCGGCACTCAAATGGAGTTGCAAAAGAAATCCTACTTCTACTTATTCATCTATTTACTTTTAAATATGTGCTCATCTCAGATGCCCCTCTGTGCACATTCTGAGCAAATTAACATCAGCATTTTGGGAACGATTCATCCCTGCCTCACCTGCTCTGCCAAACACCTAACTAAGATGATGAGTTTTGCCTGAGTAGCCATGGACACAGGCTTTGTGGGCTCAGAGGAGAGAAGAGACTCCAAACCAAATGAAGCTCCAAAAGAAACACTTGCCCTGCTGACCCCTGGCACAGAACCCCAGAAATCCTTAGCAGGAGTGTGCAGGTAGCTCGGATTGCTGGAGAATAAGGAACAAAAGAGGAACATGTCAAAAGCTCTAATCGTTAGCACACAAAAAAAAACAAACAAAAAAAACAAACCTTTGCAGATTGAAACGTAGGCAGGTTGAAAGGCTTCATGAGTTCTTTACCATATTAAAATGAACTCCCCCCAAATATTACCAATCAGTATTTTCTCGGCAAAAGAACCTAAACAATTTTCTGCACTAGTGAATATAATAAAAAATAAGTCTACAGCAAAACTGCTCATTTTGCACATTCTTTAAAGTTCAAATTCTAACTGTAGCACACCATCAAAGCCATCAAGTCACTGGTGATATTGTAAAACTGGCAATTTTGAAATCAGTTTAATGAAACTGTTAATTTCACCCATCTGGTTTAGCATATGTATTTTTTCTAGTTGATCTGTAACTAAAAAACATGCCTTGTTTATGGAGATTAATGGTGTCATGAAAAACAAATAGAAAAAGGAGACACTTTTCGATTTTCTTCCTTCCTGCACCAGAAGCCAAGGAAACAAAGGGAATCAGCACTGTTCATTAACCTTATTATTTTCCAGGTAGCACAGCATTGTTAATTTTCCCCTTCCTTCCTTCCTTCCTTCCTTCCTTCCTTCCTTCCTTCCTCCTTCCTTCCTTCCTTCCTTCCTTCCTTCCTTCCTTCCTTCCTTCCTTCCTCCTTTCCTTTCTTCCCTCCTGTTCATCTATTCACTTATTTATTATGTTATTTGAAAGTTTATTGAGCATCAAAATTATGCCACTCCCTCCCTCCTTCCTTCCTTCCTTCCTTCCTTCCTTCCTTCCTTTTTTTTTTACGGCCATGCCGTAAGGTCGCCATTTGTGCGTCCGTCGTCAAAGAGGCAAAAAGAAAATGAGAAGGTGGCCTCTTCCTGAAGAACCTGGAGTCAGCATCTGATTGAGAATTCAGGAGAAAGACCAACTCACTTCTCCTGAGAGCCACTGGGATATCCATAGGAAAGTCATTTCTAGTTTCAAGCTTTCAAAAAGTGTAATCCATCCAAAGTAGAAGTTTGAAAGTGAAAAACCATAAAAGTGAAAGGAGAAAATGTCATTTAAGCAGACAAAGATCTTCACCAAGTTTTCTAGTTGAAAAAAACACTGCATTCCTCATTTACGTCTGATCGAGTGAGCTGCACTGGGTTCCCGACACCTAAGTCGCTAATTTCTACCTTGGAAGTTAACGCTGTGTAATTTTCTGTGCAAATTTTCAGGTTTTATAGATGTAATCTCTCTCCTTCCTCCCTCTGCCCTTCTGCCCGCTGGCCCTTTCAGGACTGTTATCAGGGATTCTCTGGGCAGAAGGAGTACAGCCCTTTCTATGTGCTCTCGTGTATTTCGTAAACCAGAATGAATGCTTTCTTCAATAAGATAAAAATAAAGATGACGGCTCTGCAATGAACAATAGTGAAAACCAGCTCTTAAAGGACACGGTATCCTGGCATTATGAAGGAACATCATTGTATTTCTACAATTTCTATGCTCTGCATTTTAGAGTCTCCAAATAAACACTGCAATTGTAGGCAAAAATAAGAAGAGGTGAAAACAAATTAGAGTGACGTTAGTGCAGCCAGCCCCGTGGGCACATTGTGCGGAGGCACCGCTTCCCCTGCACTCAGCACTGCAGAGCCTGGGTCAGGAGTCTGCTCGTTGCCCTGAAGGAACAATACAGATGGTGTCAGCCCTGGGGGGTGAGCCGGGCTTGGACCTGGCCTCCTCCTGAGAACCATTTGCTGGCAGACCTCAGATTTCCTGTAGCCACAGTCACCAACTCCAGTGAGCTGAAGTGCCCAGTTCAGGATGAAAGGAAGGAAGGGAGCAAGCAGTTCTGGCCCCAGAGCAGATGTCCAGCGGGACGTGCTGGCCAGCTCACCTGTCTCTCTCACCTGTCTCTCCCTGCCTCAGGTCCCACCTGCCCCTGAGTGCATCCTTCCTCGCTCCTTCTATAACCAGCTCCTGGGCCACAGCCCCGCTTGCCGTTGTCATTCCTGCAGTCTCTTTCCACGCCAGTCCTCACCGCCTCTTTTCCCTGAATGCCAGTGCCCCAGGCAAAGAGTTTTTGAGTTCAAAGAGTTCCATTCTGACAAGGAGAAGTAACAGGAGAACACAAGAAATAGCCAGCACACCTCTTAAAGCGTGAAAAGGCGCGCACACTAAAATACTGCGATCGAGCAGGAGAAAAAGCCGAAAATGCTAATCGGGTGATTTCCATGCCCTGGCAGGAGCCATTTTCCTACAGAATTAGAGATTCTCCAGGACACAACAGAGAGGATGACCAATCAGAATGGTCAGGAAGACTCAAGCACCGGGTCTAGTTTGGATGCCACCCAGAGCCTGGACAGTGGTGAATTTTAGGACAGAGTAGCACAGAATAATTCCCATGCGAAGCAAGGAAATCAGGATACGGTGCAGCGGCC